GTCTTAACAGACTCTCTCCAAAGGATTTCAGCTGAATATATGACAAAGGTCAGGCGGAATACCTGCGAGAAGCCTGTACAGTCGTGCAATGAGACAAGTCCTAGATAACCAGAGACGAGAGTAAGTGCTGTGGAGTTGGGGAAGAATGGAAGAGGGTGTTAGCTGGTGGCAGTAGAGGAGGAAGCTGACTGTCTCAGCAGAGGAAACCCAGACAAGCAATGACTGGAATGATGAGGCCCAGGTAAAAAGTCATCTGTGATATATGACCTCATAGTCACAGTCCTGACCCTTCCTTATAGCTTAGGGGGAGGGGTAGGATGTCCCTAAGTGCCTGATGCACAAGTCCGAGGCTGACTTTTGTACATGGGGTTCTTTGTCTTCGGTTGTCTGCTAAGTGCTCCTGGTCATTTCCCCCTCTTCCTTGTGGCTTCCTTGCAAATGGCATTGTAGCTCATGTACTCTGCAAGTAGATATTCATGACCCAGGACAAAGTGTTAATGAGGACAGTGAAGGGTTAGCTTACATGAGCTTTGGTTAAACTGACCTTCTGTTCATTCAAGGGTCCTCTACTCATCTGAGTCTGGCGCACCCTAACTTTGACTTCTTAATCCATTTATGTTTGTAATGATTGAATGAAGAAGTGATAATTTTGCTTAAATATTAGGTCACTGCTCAACTTATCAACTTAGACTGCTCTCTCTCTCTCTCTCTCTCTCTCTCTCTCTCTCTCTCTCTCTCTCTCCTCTACACAGCATTTTCTTGCTATTCTAGAAGCTCTCTAGTTGAGAGCTCTCTAAACAGTTCTCTCTGCGAGTAAAAATTCTAAAAGCTATCTGGACAGCTCATGGATTTTCTGGCCATGAAAGTCAGAAAAGCTGTTATAAAAAATTATTGGATCTTCTGACCAAGTCAGAAATTCTGATAGAAAAAAATTCTTGAGGATCTGTGTTACTCTGCAGAGACCTCCAGAGATCTCAGCTCTCACTAGGGAAAATTCTAAAGAACTGCTATCACTTTTTGCTAGGTCATCTCATGCAGACCAAAAGCCCAGTTTTTTTTTCCTTACATATATCAATCCAGCCATTTACTCCAGGTTTCCTTTTGATTATCTTAGGAATCAGCATCCTGTGACCTCAGTCCTTTGATTCTTAGGAGATGGCAGGCACACATTATTTTCCCCTTTAAACATTGCAAAAGAATTCAGAGATCTATCTGCCTTTGTTAAGCACAGGGTAGGACTCTGCCCTAATGTGACCATTTCTACCACACCTGGGACTAACCTGGCTGTGTCCCAGGCTAACCTTGACAAGCTAGCTCATAGAAAACCTGCCTTTGTTCCTTTGGATTCATGAAAAGCCTCGTAATTCATATTGCATCCTTATATTTTCCATAGTTGAGAAATTATATACTTTTGAACTCATGTATTTAGAGTTCTTTCCCACAACCTTAAGAGCTGTCTTGAAGGACCCAGCGCTCATCATTTTGCTGAGACACTAGACACACCTTCACCATCTTGATTCATGCTGTCACATGATCATGGAGTCATTAATGTTAATATGGAGAAAATTCCTCCAAGGAATGTGAAATATGTACATTATTATACAAACAAGCCTTATGCACACAGCAGACATCTACACTCATGGAGGCTCACATTGGGGCCCTTTCCCAGGGGCAGGAGCCATGTCACTCTGTCCCCAGGGCCACACCGAGCTCAGCTCCTGTATACATATGTATATACATAAATATAGGCAACAGGTATATACATATATACATTTAGTGGATGGAGCAGAGTTCCTCAAGCCATATATATGTATATGTATACGTATATATGTACATATATATACATATATATATATATATGTACATATATAATATATATATATATTTGGTATGTTGAATGGGCAGAGCCCCAGAGACTTGGTCTTATTTCTTTTATTGGCCATTTTGTATCTTCTTAAAGAAAAGTTCTTTAGAAAGTTACTTCATAGATAAAATGTTACACAAAAGAAGAGTTAAAGAAGGATGCTAATTAAGTTCAAAGCAGTGTTTCATTCTATAGGCTCAGTATAAGTTCACGGCAACAGTGTCACATGGCCTTGCTTTATCATAGTGCATACCTGTGGCTTCATCCTTGGATCTGACCTAGAATGAATGTGATCGTAAATTTGTCTCAAGTCCATTTCTCTTTTTTAGTGTAATTGTGAAGGCTCACTGCAGTTCTTATTATGCAGCCTTTACTTACTATTCTGTGTGGAGTGGGCACATTCTATTCTTGATTCTAACTTTATTACATCTTATTAGCAAACAACTAAAATCATCTCTTAAAACTTTCTTTCTAAAATTGTTTGAATCAAATCAGGAATTCTATTAAATAAAAACATTAATAATAATGTTATTAATAAATAAACAGCATTAATCCATGAAAGTTCATGATGCCCTGGAATCATTAGACTATGTAATAGTGACAGGAAAGGCAAGAAGCAGCAAGAAGCAATAATGAGATGAAGTTTCTTAGGACTTTGCCTCTAAGGGCTCACTCATCCTAAACCATGCAAAAAACAATGGGCCACCTCCAGGAAAGACACCTGCCAGCCTTAGCCTCTTCTAGATAGCTCCTGACAGATGATGATAGACTAAATCTCTGGATTGTAAGCCAGCCCCTATTAAATGTTTCCCTTTATAAGAGCTGCCTTGCCATGGAGTTTCTTCACAGCAATAAAGACCCTAAGGTATCTCTCTGCCAAGGAGCAGTCTTATGCTTCAGTTTGATGGGCATTCACTAGTTGCTTGGCTTGTACCAGGATTCACAGAGTTCTGAATAGATGGTCTATCACTTTTTGTTCCATAGGAATCCTCTGTACTAGGTGCTGCCTGCCATTTCACAGATGTGTAAGTGAGCTTTGAAAAGTCAAATGTATTGTACAAGACTCATGACTGTATGGCATAGGAGGATTTGAACAGAGTCCTGCCGTGTCTTACATGTTTTTAGGACCTACCATTTGATATTGGTTAGCCAATTGGTATGTTCAACCCTGGGCAAGACTTTATCTCCCCCTTTTAGCATTTCTTAGTTGCTGTAGTTCTTTGTGTAGGGTTGAGTCTCCTGAGCTTTAAGTCACCCACCTTAGCACGGGTATTACTGCCTTTGTTGAGTTCATGTTTAGGCAGTAATGTGGGTGAGGATTTCTCAGTATAGCTTCTGACATTGCTATCAGAAACATACATACAATCAGCATAATACTGTAGGACTGTGAAATGACAGTGTGGTTTCTGGTTGCTCAACCAGCTAGAGATGGCTGGAGACCCCACAGTTTAGAGACCCCACAGGTTTCCCTGCAAGGGACAGCATGCATTTCACCACGCTCCCAGACTCTAGGCTCCTGACATGAGACTGAAGACCTCCATAGGTCTGTGCCTTTCAGTCACATAGGACAATGCTCCTACCAGCCCCTCCGCAGGTAGAGGGCTTGGCTACAGGCCACAGAGCCTCAAGAAAGATCTCCATAATAATGAGATACCTAAAGGCCACAGGGTGTAGACAATTAAGCATTCTTTCCCAGACCTTCCTTCTTGGAAAAGGTATTTAACCTCAGACCCACCCTAGAAACATGGGGATATAGTTTCATCCATTTTCTGCCATGACAATAAATATTTTTTCTTTCTTTCTTTTAGATTATTTATTTATTTATTTAATGTGAGTACACTGTAGCTGTCTCCAGACACCCATATGAGGGCATCAGACCTCATTGCAGATGGTTGTGAGCCATCATGTGGTTGCTGGGATTTGAACTCGTGACCTCTAGAAGAGCAGTCAGTGCTCTTAACCGCTGAGCCATCTCACCAGCCCAACAATAAATATCTTAAGACCATAGTCTATTTCTCTTCTTTGGGACCCACCATGGGGAACCGTGGAGAAGGTTTTCAACTACTGAGCTGCTGGCTAACTTCTCTATGCTTCCAGCCATGGAGGCCACCATCTTAGGCAAGCAAGCTGATCAGCTATGACCCAGCCAAGTGAGTCACTGCAACCAAGAGTCCCATCCCTGCAGGATGCAGCCAGAGCTCATCCTTCTCCCTATTCTCTTCGGCTGCAGGCTGATCTAACCTGTCACCCCAACCCCTGCCAACAACCCTTTTGAAGCCCCTCAGTGGCACCTGAGAGCCCAATGGCCTGAAAACCAAGTGGTTCTCGGCTGCCCCCAACTCAAGAGCTCAGGCCCCTGCAGGACTTCAGACTGTGTTCTCCCACCCTGAACAGAGTCCTGTGGCTTCCCACAGCCAGATGTTGGCTCGGCACCAGCGTGGAGTGAACACAGTCAAATTCCAGAGCCTCTGCCTCTCTGTGCCTTGGCCCTAGCCCCTTGTGGGGTGGGTGGCAGATGTGGGACCCACAATTCAACCCAATGAATCCACACACTATAACCCCACATAATACAGACTGAGTAGGTTATACTTATATATTTACGGATATATATCTATATACATACATATATATAACAACAATTAATGAAGGAAGAGGCCATGAATTTAAAGAGAGAAAGGGATATCTGTACTGGCCCCACTGGGAGGATTTGCATGGAGGAACAGGAAGGGGGAAAATGATATAATTATATTAAAATCTCAAAAAAAAACACCAACAAAAAAACCCAAGAAGAAGCAACAACAATAATAAAAGTTTTTCCTAATAGCAGTCCTCTGAATTTCTTTGGGGGTTCCACATTTTACTCCACTGCTGTGCATGGTGGCTGGGGAGGTGAACCTTGGGAAGCTTGAATGTACCTTCAGGGAAGGACTGAGACACCACTCAAGGAGTGGGAAAACACAGTCTGAAACTGGTATTCCTTAACTTCTGGGCATCTAGTCTCTGTTAGGGCACAGCATGAATGAGACAGTAGTGCCTTGTTATGAGGGGTCCCCACAGCAGCACTTTCTACCTTGCTCCTCAACTCCTCCTGAGTCACACAGCTCCTGGAATCAATTTCTCTTCTCTCTTCTTTTTCATGTTTTTGGCTTAAGGTGAGAAGCCTGGGAACGAGCTGGAGGAGGTGAAGCTTCAGAATGCCAGCAAGCAGATTGTTCAGAATGCCATCCTGCAAGCCGTGCGACAAGTCTCCCAGGAGAGCCTGCGGAGGGAAGGCAGAGCCGGTGACAGCAGGGTCCGGGGCCAGCTGGGAGGGCGCGAGCTGACCAAGAAACATGAAAAGAAGTAACGGGTGCTGCTGGTTCTGGCTCTTGTTACATGCTTGGTTTCTGCCTTTCCTGTTAGCATAGGACGTGTCACCAAAATGTTGCCAATAAGCAAAGCAAAGTGTCATGGATGCCTGTCAGTAGGATGAGTTCATGCTGGCCTTTACGACAAGCTGTGGTTTGCGAAGCTTCGTTAGGGGCTCTTCACGTCTTTGTAATACCTCCGGAAGCAGCTGTGCCAGACATGGCACTCACACCATGAAAGTCATTTTATAACAAACCTATTTTCCAAGTTCTTAAAAAAAAAATCTACATCTTGTTTATTTATACATTCTTTCTATGTATAATTCAACCAGCGGCCTTTATTCCCCTTCAGAGTTACTGAGTGCAGTTCTGTGTTCTTCATTAGTATTAAAAGGTACACTAGAAAGATGACAGCATAGAGTTTTAGCCTTGTTCAAATACAGGCTTGCGGGCTGTTAGGGTTTAAGTACAGGTTCAAGGTCAAATTGAGCAGAGCAGGTTCTGAGCCCAGTCCTGAGCCACAGCTTAAGTTTCTATCACTCCAAGAAAAAGAGAGGGAGAGGCGTTTATGCTGTGTAAGAATTCAGCCTTTTTAATCTCTGTTCTCTGAGTTGTTTGCAGTTGGTGTCTACTTTCTGTGCAGAAATCTGGTGGGACCAGTACAGAAATTCTTTCTTAGCTGGAGATTGAATGAGATGGCTGAGTCTGCACCCATGAGTTGCTGATGATCCAGTTCTTGGGCAGCCATCTTGGGCAGCCATCTTGGGCAGCCATCTTGGGC